GAAAACAAAGAAATCGCTAGGACTTAGATCGGGGCTATATGGAGGATGGTCCAACAATTCCACGTTTTCTTCCATGAAGTACTGCCTTGTTTTTGGGCTGTGTGCGAGCTTGCATTGACTTGTTGGAGGATGATTCTTCTTTCGGGGTTGATTTTTCGAAGCTCGGTGATGACTTTTGGCAAACAAATCGTGTTGTATCAATCCGCAGTAACAGTTCTTTGCTCATTAAGAGGAATTGTTGCAATATGACCCGCTTTTGATACAAATGTCGCGACCATCTTTTTCGAAACACTTCGAGAACGGATGACTTTTGTTGGCTTTTCTTCACCTTGGAACACCCAAACCGCCGACTGTCGTTTATTTTCTGGTTCATAACAGTAAATCCTCGATTCATCACCACTAACAATGCTGTACACATTTTTTGAGTTTCCGGAATTGGAACGGTCAAGCGTTTTTTGACACCAATTAACCCTGGCTGCTATCTGCTCTTCAGTCAAAAGGTGAGGTATCCAACGAGTAAACTAATTTTCTTACTCCTAATTCTTCATGTAAAATTTTTTGAATTGAGGTCTTCGAGATCTTCAAGGACGCCTCAATCTCGCGATATGTCACATATCTAGCTTCAATGATGAGTTTGCGCACAGCATCGACGTTTTCCTGGGTGACTGCCGTTTTTGGTGCACCCACCCTGGGATCGTCGCTAAGACTCACCCGTCCACGTTTGAATTCTCCATACCAACGGGAAATTGTCGACTGATGTGGCGCTGCGTTGCCGAAAACAGACAGTAACTCAGCAAGGCATTCTTGTTGCGATAATTGTCTCTGAAACTTGTAATAAATTATGGCGCGAAAATGTTCTCGGTTGAGTCCCATTTTTCTAATGACTTGATAAAACTTAAAAATTCACTGTAGTGAGAACACTGCACGTATTGCTGTGAAACTTTGAATTTAGGTTTACTAAAGAGTGAGGTTAAGATTCAGTACTGACGTTCGATCCGCGCGGCCTACTATGTTTTTATGTGTAAAACTTGAAAGACATCCCTCGTACCGATTAAGGCGACCGGTATCGATGAAAAATAAACGAATCAAATTTGCACGACAAAATCTCGTTTATCTGAAACAAAACTAATGCAACAATTCTTCAAAGATGGGGAGAACACAGCTGGCGGCTGGTCTGTTTTTGTATCTCATCTTCCACCAGTAGTCTTTTCTGACCACACTATTCTATACAACCGCTATGCTTTATGAATAATTCGAACCACAGCATTGTAACAGTTAAGGTGCTTAAGTTACCTACTATGTTTCTAAATGCAAAACTTAAAAGACATTATTACTGATATGGGGCCTGATTCTGAATGAGTTTCGACCGTTGAAATTGATTTCTATGGCTTCTTTTGGCGATATACTTGATTCGCTATGATAAATTTGATACCTCCATGATAATTTAAAAATACAATATCGATATTATCACGTGTCAAAATTACCGTTGCGATTCAAGTATATCGTCACAAGGCGCTATCGAAATCAATTTCAACGGTCGAAACTCATTTAGAATCAGGCCCATGAAATGTGTTTAGCAACCCGCAATAATGACAAAGCTCTCACTCAAGTATAAATTGCATGTTTTTTCATAAAGATTACGGATGCTACCGTTACATAATATGAAACAATATTTAAATATTGTTTTTCATTCGATGATTTAAAACCAGCTAAAGAAAATTATTACCATTTAAGGTGCGTATCGTCAGACGGTCCTACAATTGTAGGACGCCTTTATGGCCTCCTTGATTTGCATAGCCTTTTCTCTCCTTCAGAAAGGCTGGGGTATCTCTAGATTTCTACTGTTTCGAGTCAGCGTCAGAGCTCTCTTAGTTCTGTTTTCCTTTTAATAAATTGTAGGTAATTTCAGGCTGATAAAGCAAATGATAAAAACTGAAACATGAACAATTTGATGCAAATAGATATTTGTAAGATAACCTCAAAATAGACCGCCTTCCTGAAGGACAGGAAAAGCCATGAAAATCAAGGAGGCCATAAAGGCGTCCTACAATTATTGTAGGAACGACTGACGATACGGCGACGATAGACATTTGAGGTTTATTAATACAATCCATGTGGAACTCTATGAGTGCCAAGCCGCTAAATGAAACCACATATGCTTGAATTACTTGTTACAGCTGACATGGTGGTCGAAACGTCAGTAGTAAAAATACCTCATACATATGCGCTTCCATTCAGCGGCTAGACAAACAGGGAGTCATCATATCAGCATGAAAATCACAGGATAAATTTGAGGTGTTCCACCAATCAGTCCATTTCTGGATGTAACATTATAAAATTGGAAATATGAAGTTATGGTATGCTTGATCGATAATATTGTGAAACTATCTAATGACTTGGAGGTCTACTTGAGAAATCCTGTTTTTGCCAAGGCAATGGCAGTTTCTCAATAGGACGAATTATACATATTTGTCGTCTATAAGGAAAAGTAATGTTGATGACTGAACGCAAGAAACGAAACGTCATATTAACAATTTAGCCATCTCTTGTACATGGAGAAAAAGTGGCAATGTTAATGTTAAGATCACCGAACGAATAATGCCAAAAAAAATCCACTTTGCGAAAATTCTGTTTTTCCTGCCTGCCTCCGAACACACTCTTAATTGCCAAAATTTCTGAGTTATCCATATAAACATCCACTAGATGCATATATGGAAACCGTGCAAAGACCTATATCTCTATTTTACTGATACCTCTGTCTTCTACATTCCGTCTAATTGAGGCATTGAGATTGCTTTGTTTTATATTTCATAAAAAAGTAACGATAGAAGAACGGTTTTCGGATCTTATTGATCGTAAAGGCTAACTTCATTTCGGTCATTTAATCGATGTTGATCTATTCATATTTTTGTCATAGAAATGTCAATTCCACCTGCGTTTTATTTGCAGGTATACGAGTATGTAATGATCTGAGCAATTACGTCAGTTATCAATATTAAGCTTACTGTTTCATATTTCAACATAAGTTGTACTGACAATAACAATCATATTACAATCTCATAGTACACGTCCGTGACGCGCTTCACCTATTTCGAAAAGCATCGCCAGACTTTTAAGAATCAAAAGAAACAAGTCATGGCTCATCCTGTGCTTTAATTTTAATCTTTGTTCCACATATCTTACTACCAGATTTTATTATTATTATTATTAAACAACAAATTTGAGATGAGTACAAGTACTATAAACTCAAACACAAAAATAGATAATAGTGTACAGACAAAAGAAATATAACAATTTGACAATCTTAGCACTTCTGAAGTAGACATATACAGAATGGGAACAATATGTTAAGCACTGCGGTGTCTATCATAATTGTTTTTGAAACTGTTGACGGATGCCGAGTTCACTACATAAGATGGAAGACTGTTCCATGCATCGAAGACGCGATTTGAGATAAAGCGCTGACGAGTAGAGGTTCTAAAAGCTTCCTTCTGCAATTTGAAGTTATGGCCTCTGAGATTGTTCATTGCCAGACGAAACAGATGCGACATGTCCACACCAAACAAATTATGCAGTGCTCTGAAAGTGATGATGAGATCTCCTTGCCTTCTTCTATTAGCAAAAACAGGCAGATTATATAACTCGAGGCGGTCTTCATAAATTGGCTTACGTGTGCCATAAGGCATACGTGTAGCACGACGCTGAACGGCCTCTAATAAGCTGCTATCGCGAACAAGGTTTGAATCCCATACCGGAGCAGCAAACTCCAGTAGGGATCGTACGAAAGTTGTGTACAAGAAGGAGGAGGTACTAACGGTGCAACCGCTAAATGATCTTTCCATCATATATAACAACCGCTTTGCCTTAGAGGTTATGTTCTGAATGTGCTCCGACCAGGTGAGCCGGCCATTAACTGTCAGACCAAGATCTGTGTGATGAAGAACAGTCTCTAAGGTATGTTTGCCAATCTTATAAGTTAAGTTAGGATTATTCTTTCCCAGGTGGAGAACGTAGCATTTCGAGAGATTTAAAGGCAGGAGCCAAAGTTCTGACCACTTTCTGATCAGCTTGAGGTCTTCTTGAAGCACAGATGAGTTCATGACAGTGTTATAGACTTTAGTATCATCTGCATAGATGGAATACATAGAATAAAGTCGGGTGGGAAGGTCGCTTGTATAAAGAAGAAAAAGTATTGGCCCTAGCACAGATCCTTGTGGAACTCCACTAGTAACACGATGGCTAGAAGAATAGGCGTCTCCAACACGGACGGAGAAAGATCTGTCTAACAAAAAAGCTTCAATCCATAACAACAAATTTCCCCTGATTCTGAGATGTTCAAGCTTGTGCAGGAGCCTTTTATGCGGAACTCGATCGAAAGCTCTGGAAAAATCCAGAAAAAACACGTCGACCGGTTCATTTGCGTCTAAAGATCTGGTCCAATTGTCAATGCAGTGTAACATGTTGGTGATAATTAATCTACCAGGAATAAAACCATGTTGGTTGCTAGGCAGCAGGTTGTTCTTGAACGCAAATGTCATAAGTTGTTCCTGGACGATCTTTTCGGCTATTTTCGCAGCTATAGGCACAAGACTGATAGGACGGTAGTTTTTCGCAGATGTTTTATCTCCTTTTTTGTATATAGGTGTCACAGATGCAGTACGCCAACAGGAAGGAAGGATGTGATTTTGAATCGAGGAGTTGAATATAATGCACAGGGGGTATGCGAGAGCTGAAGCACAGGACTTCATAACGGCAGAAGTAATCCCATCCTTTCCAGGGGACGAACAAGTTTTCAGTTTAGTAAGGTGCCTTTCAATGTCCTGAGGTTGAAAATCTATGCTACAGATGGTCGCTAGGCTAGGCTAGGCATCTTTGCGATGGAATTTCCACTAAGTAACAGCTGCTACCTCCTATCAGATTTGGAGTTACTCCAATAATATAATATAATCAGCATTTTTCTAATGTGCTGTATACAATAATCGTTATGCATATTTTTTCAGGCAGACGACTCTGGAAATGTAATAGAAGACGAGTACATGAAATACGTCAAGGAACTCTTGGCCGAAGCACCATATATGAACTCGATGGTTGACAAAATTGCCCAAGATTGTCTGAAGGAAGCAGATACTGAAGAAGCAAGTGATGGAGGATGCAATCCCACGGCGATCAAGCTGGCACATTGCTTATTCAGGTAGCGGAATAATGACACTTATCACACAAAATGATTATTAAACCATTTTCATCTGATTTAACTATGTGCTTCTGAGATTATCCGTGTTAGTTACATCGAACTTTCATAAAGTCTATGGAATTGAAATATTGTTTTGAAACAGGAGATTCAACTAGTGGCGTATGTTCTAGGCTAACTTTTAAAATTTGCGTTAATTCTGATAACTAGTTTATAATTTATAAACCGAATAGTTGTGGGCGTGCGTCCATAGACGATCTCAGAAGTGCAAGGCCCAAAACAGCAACAAACGATGAAATAACTAGCCGTGAGATGTCAGCCAGATGGATTCCACGACACCTGAAGAAAACTTGTGTCATTTGGAATCTTGGAATCATTTGGGATATTTGACTGGTACAAATTGTGACGGGCTACGAGATTTGAGCTCAATAAGAGTCTCCAGCGTCCCCAAAAAGTAAAAGCAGCCGTCGACGACTTTTTTGAGAGCCAAGAGGAAACATTTTTTTATGAGGGTATATTGCAGGAGAAATGACGCGAGTGCATTGATGTAGGGGAGATAATTAAATAGAATTATCAAAGTCATGCATTTTTTGTTTTATATCTGGATAGATTTCTTTTCTAGCACCCCTCGTATTTTAAATTACAGCACAAGGACCGCCAGTAGTGAAAAACCGATGGGCTACCCATCCACCAATCCTGTTTTCTTTGTTGCTTCAGAGGGAGTTGCGGTGTAAGCCGCTGCTAGAATCTAGAACTCAGTATTCAAATCCAACCAACAGATGTCAGTTAATATTTGTTGGGTTATATACTCGTATCTACATTCATGTTCTGAGTTGGATAGTATATTTAAAAAATGTTTTCTTCTTGTTTTCAGAGATATTCAGCTGAATTGTCCTGAAGATCAGATCGAAGATAAGCAGTCCTGTGAAATGCTACAAGAGAGATTGAAGAGCGGACCACCACCTCAAAGCCGATAGTGCCCAGATGAATTAATAGCCCAGCTGAGAAAATCTTAAGGTTAAGAGATTGTTAATGTTGTACTTGAAATATAATACTTACATGCTTACATGGTTGAGGTTAAAAAAGATGTGATTAGAAGTCCATGTTTCATAAAACAAGTTTGATTTGATTAAATTTCCTAAATACCAATAAAAGTATCCAAGCAACCAACAAAACGAGACACCACACGCCCTTTTATTGCGACTAAAATTCACGACAGACGCACAGTTAGTCAAAATTCAGATTAATATCCTGTGAAATCATTATGAAATATGAGATGATCTACAGGGTGAGTTCTTTGTTTGTAACCGGACGATAGATCCGTTGCAATAAAAAAGTAGTTCACAAAAATTATTGGCAAATATATTAGACAAAATGCCGCGCCCTACAGGTTGTGCCATTTAAGGCACGCGACTCTTCAAATAATATACTCTGTTTGTTTAAGTATATTCTGAAAAGGGTTACTATGTGATATGATATAATATGTTAGTATTTGGATCGTTATTTCTGGTAATATGGGGTATTTTGTCGAATAAACCTTGTGCAGCTTGTCCGCCAAAATTTATTCTTAACTTCTCGTTTAAACCAGATTCATATCTCATAGCTTATCGCCAATCGATCCTTTTTTTCAGGTTTTATGTATCATCATGTTGTATATTTTCATGGGCTCAAGCTATTCTTTTTAGAGGCTTAATTTTTTTAAATATTTTAGGAGTTGAATCACAAAATGTTTGGTTTATTACCAGTACCCCAGAAATAACAATTCGAAACTAATAAGCACCAGATAATAAATGCTCAGTGCAATGATCGAATTAGGTTATACATATTCTTAGGGATGGAAAACTGTAGTCCCAAATGATTCGATATGATCTCGTAAAGATAACTGTACATGGTTTGTCATGTTTCATTATACAGTACTTTGTCACTTGGTTGAATCCTGCCACTCCGCATGAGTCCTCAAAACTTACTTTGTTATTACCGCCGACTACTCCATTGAGGAGTGCACGATAGTTTCATATTGTTCGTTTGGATAGTCTTCCACAGCTTTGTAGCATTAATTTATTGTGGGCACCGATAATCGAAACTGGAATTTCTTACAAACTGTCACGCAAACATTCTAGCCGTCAGTATTTAGTATTGTCCTTGGTTGCAAAATATTGGAATGAGACTGCTTATCCTTGGTTCTGAATATTGTCAAGCTTTAGATTGAAGTTGGGATGATAAGCACGCTAAGGTTAAACATGGGTTCAAGAAAAAAGTACGTAAACCTCGGTTCTTTGATACGTGATGTATCTCTACTAAATTCGAAATAATGAACAATAAATAAATTTAGAAAGAAATACTATGCAATTTTGATATTCAAGTTAGACGGAAAAACGGATTTCAAGGGATTAAATTAGAATAGTTCATAAACATTTTAAAAACATGAAGAAAGCAGGATATTTACTTCCCACGCCACACTGACGAACATTATCGAAAATAAGATAATAAGTTTTTTAGATGTCGATATATACATGACGAGAAACCATCTGACTTATTTTCGTCTATAGTTGCGTATTTGGGTAATTAAAGATAGCATAATTAAAATTTAAATATGACGTTTCGCCTCTGGTCATCCAGTATCGGCTTTATTTTTATTTATGGACGCTATATAGGATTTCTGCACCGATTAATGGAGCTTTGAAGTCTGATTCCAAAAATGCGTAATGCTTCATACATTGATATTGTCAAATTTACGTTATTTAAAAAAAGTGGCATTCCCTAGGTATGCCTTGAAATTATCAGTTTCTTTTGTATACCAGACTTATCCCAAAATCACTTTTATTTTTTCCTGGCCTTATTTGAGACACGATTTTAAAATAAAGTGCATGTTATCATTGGTACCTATTCTTTTATACAAGATGGCCTAGTTAAATTTTCAGTTCGTCGTTTCTTCTTTCGACTTCCATCATTAACTATGTTTTTCAATATGGACACTATATCGGAATTTTTTACACTTAAATGGACTTTTCAGTCCTAAATTCGGTGATGTTATTCCCTTAGTTGGCTATGAATTTGTTGTTGAAAATGATAAGGAAATAATATGCTATGATGAAGCCTGGAAGCAAAATGCAAACTTGTTGGTGGTAATAACTATAATAACAATAAATGAGCAGAGGTAAGTTATAGCAGATGTTGAAAATGTTGTCCGTTATTTTGTAAGTGAAACCTGGCTCTTCTCTGTTCATTGTTCCATCCAAACTATGTTACCATGTTCAATTCGATAATGGTCTGATAATTTCAAGGCATACCTAGGAACTATTTTTTGGAATAACTAAGATTTGGTAATGTCAATGTGTGACGTATTATACAGTTTTGGAATCAGGATTGAAAACTCTTATCATCTGTGCAAAAATGCAATATGGCGTGTATAAGAAAAAATTATAGAAGAAAATTCATATTTTGAAATCCCACTACAAAAAAAGTCAGGACAGAATCAAATCGATTTTGGAAAAATGCGGGTTTTCCGTCTCTCCTCGAAACTTTGTAAGCGGCATTTCGTTGATTACCTAGACTTTACCCTAATTTAAGCGACTCCGTAGCTCTTACAGTTTCCGAGATTCCAATGATGAGAGTCGAATTTGAAACACCCTGTATATCGGCCTTCCCGTAGGTCTGTCAGTTTGTCCGCTAATTCTTGAACCGCCGTTCAGCCCCTGCAATTCGGCACACCTATCAAACATATTTCACACCTCATAGTTTTGCCCCTAAAACTTGGAAGAACATTTTCAGCAGACGGATTGGCTATCGGTCGCACATGCCGCACGCCACGGGGTTATTCGAATTGCATCTCTGGTATTGGATCCGAGGCCCAGCCACATACAAGGTGGGCGTTATATTATCTATATAATATATATATATATATATACAGGGTGACTTTGAAGTTGAGTCATTAATTTTCAGATAATGATTGTAGAAGGAAGATAAACCAAAATATGTGTGTAAAAATAAAAAAAAAAATAAAAAAAAAATGTTACCTTGTTTAATAAAGTATCGTCCCGACAAGTATTTCAGTGCGGACCTGTATTTGATCGTGCGGTCTTGGAGCAGCATGCCCTGACCTGTGAGGTCTTAAGTCACCTGATTCACGAGCCCTTTGTACTACATTAACAAAGGCACGAGGGGTTGGTTGCACTCGATTGGGAAACCGATTCGCATAAATCCGTGATGCATCCGGGAGCATTTTGTAAAGACTGCCCCCCCCGTAAATAAGAATCATGTCCACAAGTTCAGCATTTTCGTAAACATGTGCCATTTTTGATTTCGTTTGAGCCACGCACCAAACACTACTATTCACTAACGCGTTATCGACTGACGAAAAACATCGTGATAAACGTTTCAAATTCTTTCGCTTTTTTGTTTCCGATGCGATGAACCGGTCAGGCGGATTATATCCGTTGTCGCCAAACACGAACATACATATGTATAATATTATTATTGAGACAGGGCGGTACTCAAACTTCCAAAGGGCTATAACTTTGTTACTTTAATTTTACCAGAAAAATGGTAAAGGAAAAAAACATTTCTTTTGATCAGATCTACTCACTGTTAAAATAAATGACTCAACTTCGAAGTCACCCTGTATATATAACTTGAGACGTGGTCATTGTCGTCTAGAAAAGTTAGGTGAAAAATTAAAGCTTCCGCCGTTTGTTGGGTACTTCGACAAAATTTAAGCAAGGAGGACTCTTTATACTTTTTTTATTCTCTCTAGCTTTCAATGGTCTTTGCCGTCATAATCAGGAGCTGCAATTACATTGATAACAGTAGCAACAATAGTGTGAAATGACTTTAAATTAACTTACAGTAGTATGTGAGGATGTTGCTTATTGTTGTTTACGTTAAGGATGAGGGAAACACCCAGTAACATGGTGAAAGCTGGATAATGGTACAATGCTCAAAATTATATAAAATATAATATAATATAATTTTGACCATTGTACCATTTATCCAGCTTTCACCATGTTACTGGGTGTTTCCCTCATCCTTAACGTAAACAACAATTAGCAACATGCTCACATACGTAAGTAAGTTAAATTAAATTCCTTTTACACTATTGTTGCTACTGTTATCAATGTAATTGCAGCTCCTGATGATGATGGCAAAGACCATTGAAAGCTAGAGAGAATAAAAAAAGTCCTCCTTACTTAAATTTTGTCGAAGTACCCAACAAATGGCGGAATATATATATATATATATATATATATATATATATATATATATATATAAAATAGTGGGCAAAATCCGCAAAAAGGAGGAAAGTGAATTCGAGCAGCTTGTTATATACCTTTCTCCGCTTGAACATTTTCTCTATATATACAGGGTGACTGTGAAGTTGAGTCATTAATTTTCAGATAATGATTGTAGAAGGAAGATAAACCAAAATATGTGTGTAAAAATAAAAAAAAAATAAAAAAAAAATTTTACCTTGTTTTATAAAGTATCCTCCCGACAAGTATTTCAGTGCGGACCTGTATTTGATCGTGAGGTCCCCTGTGAGGTCTTAAGTCACCTGATTCACAAGCCCGTTGTACTACATTAACAAAGGCACGAGGGGTTGGTTGCAATCGATTGGGAAACCGATCCGCATAAACATGTGCCATTTTTATTTCGTTTGAGCCACGCAACACATACCACTATTCACTGACACTAACTGTATACAAATGAATGAGATACTTGTAAAAACATCGTTCCAAATTCTTTCGCTTTTTTGTTTCCGATGCGATGAACCGATACGGCGGATTATATCCATTGTCGCCAAACACGACCACATAATATTGTTATTGAGACAGGGCGGTACTCAAACTTCCAAAGGGCTATAACTTTGTTACTTTAATTTTACCAGGAAAATGGTAAAGGAAAAAAACATTTCTTTTGATCAGATCTACTCACTGTTAAAATAAATGACTCAACTTCGAAGTCACCCTGTATATATATATATATATTTATATACATGAGCTTGGAGTGTAATTGAATGAGGTTATTTGATTTCATGACGTAATTCCAATATGATTTAGTATAGTATATCATTATGTATCAAGAGCTATTATAGTCAGTTATGAAACATTGTTGGCAAACAGTTTTACATCAGAGTCGCCAATGTACGGACCCGCTCGTTGCTGCAATCTGAGGAATGATTTAATAGTGCACTACTGGTTCTGACAAAACCTACGTATTTTT